ATATATAAATAATATATATATAATATATAATTAGAACCAGAGTTCAGATATTTAAAGACAATATATATATATACACAATGTATTGACAAAACCTATCAACTGTACAGTCTATATAAAAAGAGCAGCTCCTATCCCAGTCTGTTTTCCAACTGGAGAAAGTATCAGAAAACAATTTCCCAATATGTTGAGTCTCGAAGATGCAAACTTGGGGGGGGGGAGGGGGGGTAGAATGCGCACCCCAATATGTTTCAATGTGCATTCTTGCACATCCTTAAAATGTTTCTGCCTTTGCTATATTATGATTGCATAGCAGAGACCATATATTTCCAATTCATCTATCACATGGATCTTCAGTTGATTTTAAAGTTGGGAAAAAGAAGAGGGGATTATGGGAGGTCACCATCCAGGGTTGCATATCATTTTATAACTCGATATGTTAGTGATTGTATACAACAGTGCAAAACAGAAAGGGGTATGGGAGCGGCCAAGACGATAGACCCTCTCACAGGCAAATATGAGCATCACTTTTAGTCTTTAGATATGCATTCTTAGGAAAACTCAGGAAGGAGAGGAAAGAAAACATCTAGATGGAAAATAAAATAAAGTTCTCATTTCTTTAAAAAAAAAATCACTGCAATATAAAACTGAAGAAGCATTTCCTCAGGGGTAAAATATTTTATTGTAGTATAAATAGGGAGCTTTCTGGGTCTTTAGGTTAGTAATATATTAAAATGCCCTGTGAAGAAAACCCACTGGGCTTCTCTTAAAAGTTGCTTCTCTCACTGAGGGAAATTTACAGAGTGTGTCAAATGAGGATACGCAAAGCTTATGGTATGTACTTTAAGCAATTTTTTTTTATTTTTTTCAGTTTAGGGACAAAATGGGTGAATGAACAGGGTAATGCAGACAACTACCCAATTAAAAAAGACCCTCCCTCCCAAAACACAGACAGTGGTTTTCCCAATAGAACTTAACAAAGACAAGAAAAAAAATACAATAAAAAGCCAGGTTGCCAATGACCTTTGGTCATCTAAATAATAAAAAAATCCAAAAAACAAAGATAAAAGCTGACGCCACTGTTCTCAACAGAGCGTGTAAGCAATAATAAATAGTGACTTCCATAGTAAAAGATAAAATTTCAGGTTACGACAAACAGCTTTCATTACAGGAATAGAAAAGGCTGATAATAACAAAATATTTTGCATTGCCATATACAAAAAAGGTATTGACTGCAGCGGGGCTCTCTCTCTCTCTCTCTCTCTCTCTCTCTTTCTCTCTCTCTTTCTCTCTCTCTCTCTCTTTAATATGCTTTCAATATGAATTTTTTTCCAATCTAAATATATAAAGCACCATTTTAATTTATTTTTCTTTTTGGCAATGGAAAAAAAAGCCTGCAAAACTTTATTTTTTCCTTTCACTCTATTTTTTTAATCTTTTTTTCTTTTACTGCATATGAAGTTTAAGATGCTGGAATGTAAAAGGGTAAGAGAAGAAAAGGGACCAGAGCACACTACAGAACAAACCAACATCATCACCTTGCATTACTGCATACAATATGGCAGCAAAAAACAAAGAAACCCCAAAAGAACTTTGATATGTACAACCATCAGAGATGCTCATTTAGTGCGACATTCAAACAGGTTTTTGTTCCCCCTCCCCCAAAACAGCCATTATATGGCCTCTTATCTGTACAATGTCACACTTTCCTTGTCATTATTTTTTGAAACATACAAATATTTTGCACTATATTATCCTGCCAAATTAAAAAATATATACTGTGGCAGCCTATTTGTTTTTTGTTTGTGTGTATGTTTTTCCACAACCAAAAAAGGTAACTGATACTCTTTTTTAAAAAAAAAAGAGAAACAAGCAACAATTAAAAATACAAGCTTCATTATAAATACTATAGTGCCTACTCTAGGTGAACATTAAATTCAAATACCATTCTAAAAATTACAGAAAAAAGAGACCATAAATGTGTTTTTCTTCTTTTCCTTTTGTTTGCTTTTCCTCTTCTTAGCATAGGAATCAACAGGAGTGTGCATTTTCCTATATTTAAGTACTAAATATTGTTAAACCTTTTTCCAAAGTATTTATTTTACAACCTGAAATGTTGTATGTATATCCAAGGCATAGGATTTTTAACTACTGGTTTTCAATGAAGAACAGGTCTTGTACACCACCAAGACAATGAATTCTAAAATACATTTTCCCCTAAACATAATGAATTTTTTTTAAAAAATCATAACATTTATATTTTTAAAAGTTTTGTACAAAATAACCACTTCTTTGCACTGCAGGAGCAAGACCAATGTCTGGGTTTTTGTTTTTTTTGACATAACTGCAGGACTTGTTCCCATTTACAGCGCCATAATGTTATGTCCCACTCATTAGTCAAGTAAAATGGCAAGCTGGCAGAATTATTTATATGTTTATCATGAGATCATGCTCATTAAAAAAAACATTAATCTTGCAATTTTTCCCTTTAAAGTATAGACCTGTAAACTGGGAAAATTGTACAGTGCATTTAAATTGTCCTATCTGAGCAGTCTTAAAAAAGATTTTTATACTCAACCTGTGTACCTCTGATTAAAAGAAACAATACAGACACGACAGGCAGAGTCAAGTGCTATGTGAACTTCCAGCGGGGCAGATGCTAGCTTAATCATAAAGCAATGAATCCTTTTTTCTTGTCAATACAACAAGCACATAGCATAGGTTTAAAAAGAAACAAAACGAAGAACAACTTTTAGGGAGCACTACTACTCTTTCTCTTTCTCTCTCTCTCTCTCTCTCTCAGAATGTCACACATCAAGGCAAATCTTAATAGTTCGTAGTTAATCATCATATCAATATTAGCTTATAACCTGTTCTTAATTTTAAATGGCAAACAGTGCTAATAAATCACTATATATATTTATACACTTCGGTAAAATATTATTGCCAGACTGTTTATATACCTTTCCTTATATAGAGGAAAATCATAGATTGATATATGATACACACGTTTGTGCATTGTTAATTTGATTGTCTAGTTAACAACCAACTAGACCTGCGCTTAATAGTGTCTGTTTTTACGGTTAAGTCTTATTTTGTGCCAGGATCACTAAGATTTTTTTTTAAAAAAATCTTTATAATGTGAATTTTCTTTCTCACGTACTTAATCATCTTCCAAGGCCTTTTGCACAAGTCACATTCTTTTTATCAATAAAATAATTTTAAAATGGAAATGAGGGAGAAGAGAAGGGGAAGGGGAGGGACTGATACAGGTTAGTAATATTTTAACCTGAGAGAAGCATTCCCTATGATAATAGTGATTGTTTTAAACTCTCCTAGAGCAAAATAAATTTCAGTTCTATGATCACTCTTTTTTTAAAAAAAGGTGGACTGAGGAGGGGATTGAATGATGATTAACTAGGATTTGTTGGGTTTCTTTGTTTTTGTTTTTTAGGTAGCCACTGTTGTGAAAAATATAATACAGAGTTATCGGCTAGGTCCTAAAGGACTCATTTACATTGCCCAGTGCGAAAGTTGTCCTACAAGTTTAGAACAAGTAGTTGCCACCAACATGGCTTAAATATATTCAAGGCACTCAGATTTCCATTTTAAACCAAATGATAGTACAAATTTATCTCTTTGCTCTCATTTCCTCATTTTTCAATTAAAGACTTATCTCCCCACCAAAAATTAATTGATATTGTCAATGTTTTAAAGACAGAAATCAAAGTAACAAGGAATGTTTTCCCCTTTTCAGTGTTATCTGTCTATCGATAAAGGGTTAATTCAAAGCACATTTTCATTTATTTTTTAAAACATGGATATGATATATTACAGAATGTATGCAGCATGGTTGGTTGTTTAAAAATTCTTGTTTTGCTTTTCTCTTTCTCTCTCTCTCTCTCTTTCTCTCTCTCTCTCTCTCTCTCTCTGTGTGTGTGTGTTTTCCTGGAATATCACTGGAAACAGCCATGGTGCTGTGCATGTGTGTGAGAGATCTTTTTGTCTGTTTGCTCAGCAAAGAATTTGGGGACATTTTTTTTAAAAAAAAACAGCCATAACATACCATACATGCTGTCTAATTTTTTAAAAAATTAATAAACATACACAACATGTAAATTATTGCACAAGAGAAAGGCTCAAAGTTTGCGTAGTATTGCCCCAATACAGATCATGCATTCAAATGATGAAAACAGAAAAGAAAGGAAAAACAAAACAAAAAGGAAGATGAAAACAGGTGTGCTGGTGACAAGCACTTTCTGAATACCATTCTTAGCTTCCAATATTTTACTCACAAGGGACTAGAAAATCTCTACACAGGGGGCCAGGAATAAATTGGGGGAAGGAAGGAGAAGGGGGTCAAGTTAATATACCTCTATTCAGTTTTTATGTCATTATTCAAGACTCGATCACTGTGCCATTTTTTCATGTGTTTTTCCAGGGTACTGTACACGCTAAAAGGCATCTTACAAATTTCACATTTGTAAACGTCCTTCCCCACCTGACCATGCGTTTTCATGTGCCTGGTGAGTTTGCTACTCTGGGCGCAGGCGTAGTTACACAGCTCACATTTATAAGGCCTTTCCCCAGTGTGGCTTCTCCTGTGGACAGTGAGGTTACTACAGTTCTTGAAGACTTTCCCACAGTACTCACAAGTGTCGCTGCGTCTGCCCTCTTTTGAACTAGGCCTTCCAGGGCCTGGACCACTAATATGCGGGGTGCTCCCTCCACTTCCTGTACCGCTGCGGCCTGATATCCCTCCATCCATCTCCCCGGGAGGCGTCGAGAAGCGTAAACTTCCATTTTCAGAGGAGTGTTCTGAGGAGGAAGCAAAAGGCGATTGTCGGGAGTCTCCAAAGTTGAGGAATGGATCTTTTAGCTGCCGAGAAGCAGCATACCCAGCTAGCCACTGGGAGTAAACATTTTCAGTGTTAGGCATAGCTGTCGTGGGAAGGTCAAACTCCTTCTCAAGTTTGATGCGTTTAGAAAAAGGACTTAGGGAGCTTGGGCTACCCAAGAGCAGCTTTTTGGACAAACCTCCGGAGGCAGATTCACCAGGGGAACACCCCCGACCATTAATAGCACCATCATCGATGCGATCAGATTCACCAGCTACTGAGTCTTCATCACATGTATCTCTATGCACCTCAGATTCAGATAAGTGCCCTCGTTTATGTTTCTCACCAAGAACCTGATGGAAAGCCTCACTGAAGTGCTGCATGGAACTCAGGACCATCCCTTGCATGACATCCGGGATAGAACGATTCTCCTCAATAGACCGGGAATTGTTTTCATGGTGCCGAGCTGCTTCTAGATTGATGCCAAAACCATAGTCTGGCCTTTCATTTTCAGTCAAATCCTCCTCTTCTTCTTCTTCCTCCTCTTCCTCCTCCTCCTCCTCTTCTTCCTCTTCTTCATCCCCATTTTCTGGAATAATATTGGAATCATTCTCACTTTTAAACTTAGCCACCACAGATTTGAGGGCACTGCTAGCACTGCCAACAAGATCACTGGTTCCAGGCTCTGGGGAACTGGCTGTTGAGAGGCCATCATCTGACTTCACAGTCATTGGGGAGGATTTGTGCATGTGTGTTTTCATGTGGCGTTTTAACTTGCTTGCTTGAGTGCATGCATGGTCACAAAGGTTGCACTTGTAGGGTTTTTCTCCAGTGTGGCTTCTACGATGGACAACTAAGTTGCTCTGAAATTTAAAGGTTTTCCCACAAAATTCACAGGACTTGGATTTGATAGGAGGCTGAGAAGGAGGAGGAGCAGATTGAAGAGGAGGAAGAGGAGGTGTTGCCAGAAATGGTGGCTTGCTGCCTGGCTGGAATGGTTGTAGTAACCTTTGCATAGGGCTGGGCCGGTTCGGTGACAATGGTGGACTAGAGGTGTTTCCAGCTAACTCCCTAAGCCGCCTGGAGAAATCCATAGCTGGAGGCTCCATGGCCATGGGGTTGAGTCGCAGCACCCTGTCGAAGGCACTGGGGTGATGGGTTGCAAGAGCCATTTCTTCAGCACCTAGGCGTTCTATGCGATGTGGATCCAAATGATGTCTTGGAGGGGGACTAAACAAAGGAGGTGTGGGAGGGAAACGGCCTTCTCCAAGACCTGATGCTTCTCTTGCGACTGACCCAGGTATTCTAAGAAGATTAAAAGGATTATTGTCTGCAATGTGAATCCCATGGAGTGGTGGCTGAGAAGGGCATTCTGCACCTAGTCCTGATGGGATACCAACCCGCGGTGTCAGAGGACTTCCATGTTCACTTTCTAAGTAGATTCTTAATCCATGAGTGTTCTGTGCATGTTGCAAGAGAAACCAGGCGCTGTTGAATGGCTGTTTACATGTTGTACACGTGTAACTGCTGGGTTCATCTTTACCTGTAAAACAACACAATGGTAACATCAATCTTTTAATTATCAAATTATTTCTGACATCAAAAGAGAAATTAATTTTTGTTAAATGTAATGCTAAATTGATTCAGTGCTTAATTCTGGCATTTGTAGTAGCCATAACGTTACCTTCAAAGCCACCTGTATTTACTGCCATAATTGGCCAGAAAATAAGAGGTTCCTCTCAATTAGACAAAATCCTCTCACATGGATTTGTCTAATTTTGTTCTAAAGCCCCTGAAGCCAATGGCCACTTACTGAGGCAACATATCCCATCCATCATTCTTCTAACATTTATAAGAGAAAAGTCACTGCTTGTTTTCTGTATATTCTGCATAATTACATAACTTTGGTTTCATGCATCTAACAATCATTGGAAAGTATATAATTATCTCCTTAATACACTTCTTCATCTACACTGTTAAAAATATCAATTACTGAAGTACTATATACAACTATCAACATCAATGATTAAGCTCTTTGTCCTAGACCAGCATAAATGTACTTATTGTGTGTACAATCCTACATACCTGAGAATGTCTCTTATTTTGGGACTCACATGTTTGTGTAAGATTGGATAGGATAACACTACTAGAGATTGTAGCACAAAAATAGTATTAACTCAGCTACATTTTCAGTTAACTTCAAAAATTTTAATGAGATTAATTCAATATAAACTTTACACTATAAAGTTGGCTGTGCAATGCTACAAATTTGGTTAAGAAGGAATATTTTGGAGCATCTCATTAAAACAGTTGTAATTTCTTCCAAGATCACATCACTACTGAGGGTACAATTTCTACCACAATTCTGCAAACACATGGCTATTTTAATTGTGACTAAATGTGCTGCTCTGGCTTATTCTGAAGCAATTTTCCTCAGTCAAATCTAAAATATTGCACAGCCTTAACTACAAAGCTTATTTTAGAATAATTTCCTATTATTTCAATGAAATGTTGTTTAAGATTTAAAGAGGCAGCCAACTGCACTCATGCTTACCTGGAACTATGTCCAATTGTTTTCAATGGATCCTACTCTTGAGTAATTATGTTTACAAATAATTATTGCTTATAGTTGCTTTATAAGCATACTGACTTTAAAACAAATATTTTTGAAATAATATAGAACTAAATTCTGAGGGTAAAGATTGTTAATCACATAGGAGTAGAAATTAATTACTTATCAGTTTTCTTTTGCAAACATGAACATTAAAAAATGAAAGTCAATTCCATTAAAATATTCCCTGATTATTAAGAGAGATTAAACTATCAAAATGAAACTGTTTAAAATATATGATACAATAGAAGTTTGGGGTTTTTTTTGCGGGGGGTGGGGTTGAACTGACTTATAACATATACATTACCTCTGATAAAAGGGCAAATTTTATATATATGCTAGGATTTTTGAAATGACAAGTTTAAATAAAAATATATTTTAGATAGTTCAATTCCCACATTTGATTGAAAAATCAGTTGTCTATCTAAATTTAGTGAGGTGAACAATTGCAGTTTTTCTAGAAAATATTTAAGACTGTAAATGTGAATTTAATATTTTAAAATATTTGCATAAGTTATTTAAATATATGAGTTGTTTCAATAAACATTTTAGTGGGCATCCCTCTTCTTATTCTTTTTAATTTCATTTTAATCAATTATCCTATAAAGAGTTGCAAACGTTGAACAGTTTCACCTCTTTTATGTTCAGAATAATCCTATTAGATAGATTAGATTGAATGCAGGTAGCTAATGTAACATCTTCCACTAATCTTTAGGACTGAGAAAAATTTGGACACTTCTATACTTGGTCCGATATCTCCTACAAGCCTACTAGTTCTCCACTCTAGAGCAGTTTAACTATCAATTAGCTTATGGATGACTGAGTAAATACAAGTGTGTGTATGTGTGCGTGTACATACGCGTGCGCATACCTAGCCTCAACAAGATTTGTATGTGGTGCTCCTAATGTTTATATTCAAATGGCTAAAATAAAATGGAAAAAGACTATTGTCTTGTAAAAAAAAGTTTTTGGGTGTGTGTGTACATATCTATATATTTGTCTATTTGTCTGTCTTGGGGTGCAATGGCTCAGTGGTTAAAGAAGCTGAGCTTGTCATCTGGAGAGCTGACAGCTCGGGTTAGAGACCCAAGCTCTGTGCAATAGAGTGAACTCCCATTACTTGCCCCAGCTTCTGCCCACCTACTGTAACGATTTGAAAATAACCTGGCAGAAATGAGAATAACTTCATCCTTGATAAGTTGATTTAACACTTGCATCTAGTTTAGCAGTTCAGTTTCCTTGAATATTTGGGTAGTTTTCTAACAATCTTTTTGATATACTCTATCTGTTCTGCCTTATTATTACCAGTGTTTTTCCAAAAAGAAGGCTGGGTCTTATTTTCTTTAAACCCCCCCCCAAAATGGCGAAGCCTTCTTTTTGGAGGGTTCTAATTATTGACTCACCTCATGGAGGCGGCACTGACAGCCCTGCCCAGCAGGAGCCCGGAAAGCCATCTACAGCCAATAATAGAGCTCCGGATCAATCCAGAGCTTTGTTATCACTGCAGACGCCTTCCAGCAGGCAACTGAAGGCGAAACGGAGGCCGGGGTGATGCGTACGAGTGACAGCAAGTGGCCACAGAAGAAGACAAGGCAGGTGCGAGGTTTGCGAAGCCTGGTAAGCAGGGCAGCTCCACCCCCTCATCCCTACCCTAGCTTATTTTTTACCTGTGTGCCTCACCCCAAACCCTGCACCCCGGGTAAGCGGGGTCTTAATTAGGGCTAATTTTGTGGGTGGCGCTTAATTTGATCACATGCGCTCGAAAATGTGATAGGGCTTCTTTTCAGGGTAGGTCATCATTTTGGAGAAACACGGTAATATTTTATCACTGTTTTCCTAGTATTTCTTATAGTGAACAGGCATCGTTAAATACACCAGTGCAGGATATGGAACCTATGGAACATCATAAACTAGCAATTCCTCTGGTAAGGAAGAAATTAACAAAGAGGAGTCCAAAATGTTTACAAAGATTGGGGGAGAGATGTCCGAATTTTCAGTCTCAAAGCAAATTTATCTTGAAATTAAAAAATGAAATTGCCTTTGCTGTTCCATTAATCTTGTCCAGTAATGCTGAGGACACAGTACACACATACATATTATGAAACTCTGATATACATATTCAAATGACTAAGAACATGTGTCTGTAGTTCATACTTTATGCATTTTCTGAAAAAAGATTGTTGTGTGAACATAACTGTCTCATAAACAGAACTGATGGCGCAGAAAAGCTCAGCCTGAACAAGGCCAACTCCATCACTGTGTGAAATGAAGCAGATATTTGAAGCTGCAGATGGGCAGAGCCTACTTCCCACTTCCTGTACTGTCAACTGCCTGCCCACAGCAGTCTTTTCATTTCATCTAAGACTGGGGTGGGGAACTATAGCCTTTTTTTGACTTGTGGTCTTCAACTCCCAGAATTCCTGAGCCAGCCATAAAGGGGCCATAGTTACCCACCTCTGGTCTAAGACAAATGGATCTTGGGAATGGTTTCCTGTCCTACTAGTCTCCTTTTTGCCACTGCTATGAGATGGACCTCAGATTGACATACACGAGGCATTTGTAGTACTTGTGGACAGTCAACGTGGCCACCTCACAAAGTCACTTGGAAGATCCCTTCAAAATGATGTATAAAGAGCAGTTGATCCTAGGTGCAACATTGCAGCTAAGGAAGAAGTCTATGAAAGCAGCAATTTCTCTCTGTTTCAGGAAGTGAGTCTTCTGGAGTTACAGCTGAACCCAAAGGTTCATTCCTCTACTCCTGCTGGATCTGAATTCTGCCAACAGCCAGCATGCAGCATCCCTGGCATTGCTTCCCTACAGCAATAACCAACTCAACATAAAAAAAGGCTCCCCCAATTCTGTAGTTATAAAAATGCATCTGATTATTAGAGCATAGTCCAAAGTCTATTCTTCATAGAATAGACTATTCTATTCTCCATCCAGCAATTCTCCATAGTGTAAAGAATTTGCATTACAGGAAACACCTTGGTTGAAATAGTTGAAAATATGCTAATCAGAACAGAGTGTGCTGAGCAAGACATGCCAACAGTCAAAACCTGTATAAAGCTGCATTATATGAGCTGATTGTGAAGTTGATGACTGGGTTGTTTTAATAATGCATAAATTGCCAAGAGTTACCAGGCAATAGTGTATGTTCATGTTTGGAAACAAGAATATGTATTTTGTTGAAATGCCCCTACAAATGCATATTGTATTAGTCTTTGAAGAACAAACTGGATTTGCAATGGTATTTGACTGCAATATGTACTTCTGTAATGACCTGTAATTTACTTTACATCAGTATTTATACTAGCACTCAATATAGCCAACTTGTGGGCAAACCTTCTTACAAGATTAGACAGTAGATGCCAAAATGAGGTTTCCAAACACATGCTTAACAGAGGTGGTATTCAGCAGGTTCTGACCAGTTCTGGAGACCCAGTAGCAGAAATTTTGAATAGTTCGGAAACCTCTGACTGGAGATTTTACAGTATCCTTCCCCTGCCACACCCACCAAGCCACGTTCACAGAAACGGTAGTAAAAATTTTGAATCCCACCATTGATGCTTAATATATGTGCAGGTGGAAAAAGAGGGAGAAAAAAATGAAGTGGATGGATTTGATCTTCATTGTTCTTGTTTTTCTCCTTACTTCAATTATGAAAAAGCAGTTTTATAAGAGGATTTTCATTATGTAAGGTACTGAATAAATGACTTTGGAAAATGATAGGTAGGCAGTATTACAGCAACCTCTACTACAACTAACACTGAATGCCCCCCGCCCCCGTGAACCTTCTTCAAGTTTCAGTTTTTCTATTATTATATATTTAGTCTGACAATTTAAATTGGGTGATTTAAAAATGAGAAAGAATCAGACACTGTTTGCAGGTGTTTAGAATTTTGGTTGCTTAAAAAAGCTGTTGAACAATATTT